GCACCAAATATTGTAGCCATATTTGATAATACATTCGTCAAAGAAATAAACATTTCAGCATTCGAGAGAGAATACAGGCACTGACATATTTGGTCGGTGCATGCAGACATGTAAAAATCGTGCGATGAGGCCATGGCCAAAATAATAGGAGGAGGCCTCGGCGGCATCCTTCCTGGCCATAGGCCAACATCAAAATTTGTTCCTTGAATCTCTAAAATAGGATTCAATTAATTCCTTAATTGTCCATATTTAATATTGAATTTGATCCTAATTAAGCTTTTTTTATGAAAGTAATTTTCAATTACAATTCAATTTTCATCGCGGTGCGCGATGTCTCCGCGAAAAATGAGGAATTTTTTTTGCACACAAACCTAAAAAAATCAAGCCAAGCATCCACTAATTGAAAAATTAGTGGACTGTGGGGGGATAGGCAAATAACTTGGGAGTTGCAGTGATGACGTCACGATTGACTTAATACTGTAATGTTATTTATTGTATGTGTGACATTGTGTACTGCGTCAATGTGCTTTTCATTCAATTGTATTTTTATCTGTTGATCTGGTGAAAAAAATATTTGGAATTTGCTTTAAGTTAGAAGATTAGGTCCTCATGCTAAGATGTACACTAGCACTTAAACTAAATACATTTTATCTCTCCATCTAGGATTTACTTTGTACTAGCAGATAGTAAATTTATGATGTGCATATTCATGTAGCATCATGACTAGAATACTCCCTGTGAAGTTGAAATGACCAAAAATCTAATCATTAAACAATATTGAATGACTTTATAGAACTATTTTATTGGATTGATTAAAATATCAATTTCTCCCAGTCCTTGCAGGCAAATCCATTTTTGGAACTTGAGCATTACATAAACTCATTGCTCAACTTGTAAGACATTTCTCTTGCAGACCATTCTTTAAGAACAAAGTTGAGTTCATGTAAACATGGAAAAAAACAAAGTAGATTAAAAACAACACATAAGAAAAGAACAGAATCCAATTGACCACATACAGATACAAAATTTCAGTATAAATTGTTGATATATCATGGAACAGTGGAATGCTATGCTCTACAGATCTTCAATACTGGCATACTCTGCAGAGCAATAGTCATGTTGTTGCAGATTGTGTCCAGTAGCTTTCATTCTAAATCTCTCATTCTTCTCAATTCTGGGAATCCATTTTGAGTGAGATTCATGGCTGGTGGTAAGTGAAACTAAGATACAGTGGATGGCAGCAGCAATTTATGTTGCTCTGAAGTGGAATTGGGGCAGCTGTAGCATCATACCTGACAGCATTAGACGTGATGTAAGCGTTCTCTAATACTGTCTGGTAATGATGTTATTGGTGTCTTTCTTACAACCTCATCTATTTCTTCATCAGCTTGATCCTTGCCAATAGGTAAGTATTCCTACTTATCCATCAGTCTGTTTCTGCATTATTTCCTTCTAAAACTGCATGCATGTTTTAGCCACAACTACTTTATGATAAAGTAAAATTTAAAAGCAACTAATTGAACTTATGTGACTAACTAGGAAAGTATAGGCTTGGCCCAGAGGACCTACGACATCTGAGCTACAACATAGGGATCCCCTGTTTGTAAAATAGACTGGACACAGTATTAAAATCAACCTTTTTTTTTGAAGAGTGTATGCATTAAACATGTAGTAGAGACTATTTCCATCAGACAAAATGGATTAAGAGTTTCTTCTGATAAACTGTGTGAACTACCGTACATCCACAGGAGAGCAGCTTGATGCACTAAAACTAATGGCACAACAATTTCCATCATTATTTTGCAGCTAAAGTGGTTTTATTTTAAAACAAAATTTTTTGCTGCTCACATCAAAACAAAGTTTGTATAATAAAAATGAATTTACAGTATTTGATGTTTTAAAACAGGTATACATTCATCTAGTCAGGTGAATTTTTTTTTTTTAATGAGAAATGCTTTTTCAAATATTTCAGGTTAAAAAACTCAGATTTAAGAGTAATAGTCTGTTACAGAATTATTGTTGTTTCTTTTAGTATTGAACTCAATGATTACTTTACGATATAAATTTTACTTTGTCGTTATGATAAAGCAAGTTGTACCATGTCCTATTGCACTAACTGCACAACGGTTGGTGCTTGGACTTCGCGATCAATGTTTTAAATCACACTGTGCAAGCTGCTTGTGTCCTGGGCAAGACATTTTATCTAATGTTTTCTCCAGTAAAGTGGATGCCTGGTAGGATTTAATACTAAGTATTGATTCTCTGCCTAAAGAAGCCATCAAAATTGTAACCAACCCTGAGTACTAGGGTGTAATAAGGCCAAAAAAAAATGTGTGTTTGCTGTCACATTGTAAAAATTTGAATACAGGGGCGGGTGGAAAATCATAGAAACATCGTGAAAACTGTGCGATTGTCATTTTTTTCACGAAAAAAACGATCATATTTTTTGTTTTTAAAAAAATGTTAAGAAGTAAAAATTTCTATATACACGGATCTGTGCCAAAATCGATGAAAAATTGGTTTTCATTTGATCTTTTAAACTTTAAAAAAAAAAACTATTTTGGGAAAAAAAAAAGAAACCCTGCCCCTAATTTTCGAGATTTTAGGGGCAGCGGATGACGGCAAACAAACAAGTTTTTTTTTTAGGCCTAATCGATGACAAGTTAAATTAGAAGTCAAATACAAAATACGTTCGAAGGTTCACAAAGAAAGTATTCCTTTAAAGAGTGAAACAGTTTAGTGTAAACACAAATATAATGTCACATTTTTAATACAAATATATGTGACTATTTTTCAATATGCAATCTGTCATTACCTTCTGTGCAATAGCCTTGTTCAATTTTTATTAGATGAAAATTTTAGAAAATAATAGAAGGAGCTAGCAGTAGCAATATAATTGGTGTTGATGTTCAAACAGTTGAAGAAATATGTAATAATGCTATGGAAAAAAAATTAGAAGTAAAACCTGGCACACAGCACCCGCTAAATCGCTGTGTTACATTAGCAGAATTGAGAGAAGTATCCATCCCCAGATTCCAGAGATCAAAGGTACTCTTCATTGGCTAAAGGCCTGGTAGCGTATTTTAAATTATACTGTAGTATGGTTGTGGTTTTTAAATAGCTAGCAATTTGGTTAATTTTACCAAAAATGTCAATGTGAACATTGTTTAAGCTGTTAATGAGACAATTAGATCTAACTGATGAGTGATCACCATAGCAACCTAGCAATTAGGTGCAGAATGTCCAATTCTGTATCAATCCTTTTGCTAGCTGTAACAAAGATGGAAGCATTAAGGTTATTCTGTGGTTTGTTTAACCATTTATTAGGATTTATATTTGCTTTAAAAAATGTCTGATCTATTTATAGTGACTTGTAGATGGTCTTCAAGTAAAATGCTTGATAAGTTGACTTTAGAATTTCTTGCAGCTTCTCTTTGGTTCCTCTTATTAAGAAATAGGAACCAATACAATCAAAATGATGTGTGTGCGTACATACACGCACACATACACACGCATCACTTTGGTGTGCGTATGTATGCTACCTTGACATCATCAAGTTTGTAAACAGGAAAAAATGATATTCAAAACACTTGTATTTTTGCATACATGAAGCACTGGTCCTGTAGTAGTGCCCTATTGCTTGAAACCATTTTTGGATAAACATTAAATCAGTATATTGTGACATTTATACACCCACACCCCTCCCTCAACTGAGTATTCTACTATGGATTAATAATTCAAAATTGTACATGCAATAAACGTTGTGGTCTGCTGAATTTTTTTCTCTAAGTTGGGATAGATCCACCAGAGTGTGATTCAGAGAACTACTGTAAGGGCAAATTGCATGTGCAAGATTTCCAACGGAAGCACACTGATTTGAAATTTCACATCCGTGTAACATTCTAAATATTAATTACACTGTTAATAGGAACCAGTCCCCATCTAGGTCTGGTTTTATATGTCAGAACTCAATATTGGGGAATTCCCCTAAAGATTCCATCAAAACTTGGGATTATTCAGGTTGTTTCATCATGTGATGGCTTATAATATAGAATATTATATTGTCTGTGTTTGTTTATCAGCGTGAGTGAATAGTCAATGTACATTCATTAAATTTATTTTCCTTTTAAAAAAAAAATATTAGCAGAGCTGATCTATAAACTTTATTGGACCCATGATACATTAGTTGATTGGTATAGTAAACATGAACCATCACGTAAACATGTAAATATTTTTGTGATTTAGCATTGATCTAGAATCAACATGTATGGTAGCGTACTTGAGGTTTGTGAGCAGAAGCTTACCAGCAAATACTGTCTTCCAGTAAACGGATTAGAAAATAGTGAAGCATGAGAACTATATTGTTGTGGAGTGGTTGTTGAATATGATGAGAGCTAGACCATACAGTTGATGTTATTGTTTAGTGGAGCTGGATTACACTAACTAGACTACATCCTGGATTTGTGTACCTTACACTCACAAGGCCATGGATTGTACTATTGTGTTGTGAAGGTTGAGTCTTTGTATTAGTATCCCTAAAGCTTTTGCTAGAGTAGCTGGTTTGTGATTTGCTAAACGTTTGATTGAAAAACATGAGATTAAAAGAGCAAAAAAAAAAAAAAAACATAAGGTGTTGAATAATCAGCCCCTATTAGTCACTGAAGTTTTTAATATTTGTGCGTTAATATTGTTAATAAGCATTATTACCAATACCATAATGGAAGAAAAACCAAGAAGTGATGGTTAGTGTATTCAGTTGCGGTCTGTTTTTGTGTTTTAAAATTAAAGTAGGAACCAATTAAAAGAAATATTTATTTTTAGTTTTAACATTAGGCGTGATAATTACAGGAGTCAACTTCCAATTTTCACTTTTGAAACAGTAGCACTTTATTCAGTTGGTGCATCCAGTAAATTACGATAGCATAAAAAGTCATGTACATTACATTGGTTTCTTGTGATAAATGTTTATTGAATATAATTGACTTTATCTATATTTATAGAAAGAAATTAGAGCAAACCTGCTGTTAAAAGAAAAGACTTTGCTGGCAAAGAAAGATCTCAAGTCCATGCAAGAGCTAAGAATGAAGTTCCTAGATCAAGCAAAGAAATACTTTGGTGTTCCATATGCAAAAAAATACCACCCCCCTGGATGTAAGTAACTATGGATTGAGCATACAGTACAAGAGAAAAGCAGTATTACTGTATTTAAGAAAAATACATTATTAATTTTATTGATCAGTTAATGTAGATTAAGTTTTATAATCAATTAAATTCATTTTAAACCTTACAGTAAGCTTTACAGTTATTGAGTATTAGGCAATTACATGCAAATCAATCATCATTTCCACAATTTGTATTCATTATATTTGTTTTGATTTAGTCATCCTACCATCATATGTGATTTTTTTTTTTTAGAAATCATGAAAATTACATATAATATGTCCACTTTTTTTTTTAGCTGAAATGCATAGTGCACCATTATTTCTAGACTGCTGTGGTTTGACTCGCCGTGTACTTCGTGATCTAAAGGAGGAATTTGGCTTCAACATTGGACCATGGAACCAAGCGTACCAGTATGACACATTGCCAAATACTATTACTAAAGAAGAAATGTTACCAGGCGATCTAGTCTTTATAACAGGCACATATTTCAACAAAAAGTGTAAGCAAATCTAACCTTTATCCCCATAATGTTTTTTGGAAGCATTGCACTAAAATCATATAATTAAATATATGAAAAAATATACAAAAAAAACCCATTTTATTATGTTGTTAATATTTAGATGTTTTTCGATGTTGTTTATTGTTATTACAATTATTTATTAGGACTGTATTAAGATGTGTGTATTTTCTGCTGCTTAAATTGTTGGATACATTAAGCATTACCAGGTTTGATTGAATTTTGCAGATGAAAGTCATGATCATATTTTGTGGTGTTTATTTAACCTGGTCACTAACATGCTGCCTATAATTACGGCCAGATCTGAAACCGACAAAATAAATAACATGAATTTCAATAGATTTCCGGCCAAGTCTGACCATGATTATACAATAATAGATGATTGATTAGGCAAGCCTTGGTCTACAAACACAAGTGAAAAGGTGTTTTGAGATTATTATGTGACTAAGCCGGCACACGTCATGTGACAATATTTGTAGTCTGCGCCCACGCCCATTTCAAGTGTTGTGTGCTTATCCTTGTTTTTGCTATTCATTCCTCTGCTGCCAGAGTTCACAATTAAGATATTGTAGATGCTGTAGCTTTTTACACCTGACTCAGTTTATCTGATGAAATGGTAGATCATTTGGTGGCTTTCAGATGCTAAAATTGCATTAATTGTTAAAGAATACTTGATAAGCCAAAAATAATGATTGAGGAGAGAGGCATATCAGCAATTGATTCAGTTCATGTCCCTGAATTTATTTTAATCTATGTAGTGTTGGTAGGTATACAAGTTAGCTGGAACTGTATAGAATGTACAAATAAATATTATAGTTTCATTCAGTTATTTATTCTTGCCCAGCACCATTGGTATTCTTAAAATCAACTTTCTATTTCATGCCTACCTCTGAAATAGATCACTACTGTTGCATACACAGGCCAAAATGTCTAGCCTTCTCCTGTAAGGCAGGCTTTCACAAACACATTTTGTTCATAGTATCTTTTTTATAAGAACGTATTAATTTTATAAAAACACCAAGGCTGAAATTGGTTACAAAATAAGAACAAAATAATAAAAAAATGTTTTCAAATGATGTTTCTATTGAAACAATTTAGAAAAACCATTAAAAAAAATCCTGGTAAATTTCTTTCCCTTTGGTCTTATCTGCACCATTAGGTATGACTGTGTAATACCCTTTATAATACAGTACAATAATACTGTATATTGTAGTAAAATAATAATTTGTTATCATTTAAAAAGTGTTTAAAATAACAAAATTTTACAGGTTATTATTAAAAAAAGTGTTAAAAATGTCAGTGTCAAATAAAGTACTTTGATGAATTATCCCATCCTAACATGATGGTAACAATGACCTCTCCTTTAGTTTGAATTAAATGCCTCACCTTCCACTTTTTTTGAGTATTAATATGTCTTTGATATTCTCCTTTAGTACTTCAATTTGACACTATTATATGTACAATGTATTCGCTTTCTGTAATGATTTCTAGCAAAGATACTAGAAATACAAGATAGAGTTCTCCACACAAAAAAAGTGTTCCACTGTGTTCCACCGAAATGCATGGTGGGAATACGAAAAATGGGACGCCCCCTACAGCTGGATCTAAAAAAACTTCTAGATGTGTATAAGAGACAGCCACACCGACAGTCCGAGACGGCGCGCCGTCTGCTGATACAAAACAATTAAAGCATAATCATGAATCAGTAAAGAATAAAACAACAATACATGGCAGAATCGCATGGCCGGACGCACTCTTAGTGAAAAAGTTTTCCTCCATTAGTGGAAAAGGAAGGGCGCCTTTCGCGTCTGGATATACTTAGCAACAGAAGGGTGCCCTGTACGTTGGGCACGAAGTATAGGAAACTTGCATGGATAAAAAGAACGGCGCCGCCTACGTTGGGCACGACTTCCGCCTCATTTTTACAATGCGAGAACTCTATCTTGTATTTCTAGTATCTTTGTTTCTAGTCATATGAGACGTTTTGTCATAATACCATTGTCACAATCTTCCTTTGTTTCACATTGCTATCATACCTTGTCATTTATTAGGTTTAAATTCTGCTTGTCGTCCTTGGTCACATTGTGTTGAATCTTGCTCCTGTACTAGTGAAAAATAAGAACGTATTAAATATGAGCTTGGTAGTATTGAGGAGTTTGGTGGAGTTTGAACTGTAGACTTACATGGCCCTCTGTAATCTTCATTTCAAGACACAATGATCGAATAGATGGACAATGTATTAAAAACTCTTACACATACAGTATCAACCATTTTAAGTGAAGCTGATCATGAACTAATATTGTAATTTTTTTCCATTCTTTGGATCTTTGCAATTACTACAATTTACCAAGTGATAATGCATAATTGAAGGACACAGGTTTACCTTGTTGCAATCCAAATCCAGGGTTGCTTATTCATTTTCGTTAAAAAGCTTTTAGTATCTATAATAATTATTACCAAGGCATCAACTTAGTATGTTTTGCTGTGTAAACAAGTTCACATCCAGCACTTACAAGTTCAAATCCTGCTTATTTTTTTAACCAACATCTACAGCTGCATAATAATATTAATACATGAATATTGTTCATCTTTCTTAATCTCAGTAGTTGGTAGTTTCAGGATGTATGGTGGTAGAGCATTTGCCATTTACCTCTCCACTAAGTTGTAGAGCAGTTTATTCGATTCTATCCTTCGATGAGAATTTTAAAAAGCTATTTGAGAACTTTTTAAGTTTTACTTTAAATGACATTTCTTTTACCCAGTGGTGGACATGATATGCTCTGCATACCCAAACAAAAATTTAAAAGAAAATGTTTTATTGTGCCTTTTCTCCCATTTTATTTAGCATTCTTAACCAAAATCATCTATACCAACCTTAATTTTTTGAGTTGATTGTTACATTTCATTGGAATGGCTAAGATATTAGGTTTTCAATCTTTAGGCCTACTTTGGTATTTAAGATATAGGGCCAATCGTGGCATACTCTCAGCTGCTTAGGATTTCCACATGGTTGGTTGCAATACTGCGAGTTAAAAGAAGTGGGAGCATACCTATAATGGTTAAATTTTATAACCGTGTGTTGGCATTAAAAAATTTAACTCTGGTTTTTGAAGCACTGCTTTCAAGGGATGGCGCACATGCTCCTCATCTCACTACTGCTCTACAATAGCCTAATCAGGCTTCCACCGCCGAAAGGGTAAATTATATTGCCCGACATTCTAGAATCTCAATAATTAAAGTTAAAATAAGTCTGCATACAGACGACCGGTATAGAAAGAACTTGTATTATTTAAATTGTAATTTGTTTAATTAAAGTTAAAATAAGTCTGCATACAGACGACCGGTATAGAAAGAACTTGTATTATTTAAATTGTAATTTGTTAAATGTACAGAAATATGAAATCTTTTGAGAAGAAACTACAACCATGCCGGTATAAAAAGACACATATTTGTATTTTGACTTCATAGAAGTCTAATTGTAGGCTAATATATGGAACTTTTCTCACTAGCAGCTCCTAGCATACCCTACATTTTACCCTACGGTCCGCCGTTGCTTGTACCTGTTGAATTTGTAGTGACTAGCATGATTAATTTTATTAATTTATTGTTTATTTATCTTTATGTAGAGATTGGAAATTATGTGTCTTTTGAGCTTGTTAACAAAATGAATTCTCTGTTTTGGGGCTAATAGAGTTTTTGTATAGAACTGTATTCTCTATATATCTTCTTTATTGTCAAATTGATATTAAAAATACAAATTCGAAAATTGACTTACTTGCTACAAAAACAGAAAATTTTGCTCTAAAATGTTAAAATGTAATATAGTGGAACACACTTATAAAATTTATTAAATTAGTTTAAATGTTAAGATTATATTATGATATTTTGTTACATTAGACATCGGATGGCAAATTGTTTATCAGAACCTAGGATGTACCTAGGATGCAGTGGCGGATCCAGGAATTCAAAATAGAGGCGGCCCAGGGACGTATTTTTACAGAAGGAGGATCTATACCACCTCAGCCCCACCATGATTGGGAAAATTTGTGGATATGGCACCTCTAAGTGTCCGGAATTTGCACTCTCAGACTTTTTGAATATAATTTTCTTTATATCTGCATTTTTTTAAAAATTTTGAACATTCAAGGGGGCCTGTGCCAGTTTGGCCCCCCCATGGATCCGCTACTGGGATGGATTCACTTGCCTGTCACAGCACCCTCTACATTACGTAGATTCAACTTCAACTACTGTACATCCTATACATATAGCTATTGAACAGCTAGAGTGCCGACTAGGTGCGAAGCAGTGCAGAGTTGTGCACGTTTACTCAACAAGATGGCCGCCATAGGAAAGCAAAGTTTCCCCGACGGGGGCTGTAGCCCCCTGGCCCCCTGTAGCGTCACCACTGAATAGCGACGTTTACATGATGCCTTAAATAGTTTCTGATAGTACTATGTTGCCTTGTTGTAGTTATTTCTTCCATGCTTGTAGAACAGATGCAGCACTACAATGCATTAGATTTATTTTACAGATTACTTGATATGCTACATGGTAACGCCTTGTTATTATAAATAGAATCCTTGACATTTCAGCCTGTTGTGATGATGTTAGCAATGGATAGATGATTGCCATGGAAATGAATCGCATAGCTTCATTAAGACCTTGGTAATGACCAGGTCTGTCAAAATTATCGAAAGAGCAACATCATAATACTGTTTCCAAGGCTTCACATATCCACTCCTGCACCATCATCAATATTATATTATATTTTTTAGACTTATTTTTAACTTTATCATTTTAGTTTTATTATAAATGTTGTTCATTGTAATGCTTATATTGTATGTCTGGTATTATAGATAAGATAGTATATTTCATTTTACAAATGTTTTAAATGTTTTTTAGTATACAGTTTACCCTCCAATTTGAGACCACCTGAACATTTGGGTGGTCTCAATGTTCAGTCTGCAGATAGAGTGTTAGCTTTGTGTTAATAGATTAAAGATTGTTATTTGGTTCTTTGAAAAAGAGGTCTCAATTTAGAGGGTCCTGAATTAGAGGGGCCACGAATTGGAGCGTGCATTGTAGTAAATTTTGTATTATTTATTCTTACAGTTTTTATTGTTTTGTGTTTTTTTATAATTTCATCTTTCAAAGGAAATCCGGTGGATATTATAAGAAAATTTATGACTATTATTTCTTGGTATCTGTGTATCTTATTGATACAATACCACAGCAACACTAAAGAGGCCCCTGCTTAATGTACCCCATCACTGGTGCTGTTGAATGTAGGTAAGAATGGCCCCGGAAAAAATGGCCCTTCTTACCTACATTAAAAAAGCATTTGTTTTTTAACAATTACAGCAGATGCAAATAATGTTCTGAGAGATAACTGAAAAACAATGGCCATTGAATAACATTTTTTGATAGTAGAAATAAAAGTTTTAAAAACGTTATTTCACTAACAAAGTAGAGGAATGACATACAGTATACGTACTTTAACTACTAAAATATGCAACTCATAGATAACCACAAACTTCACTTTTGTTAAATATCAAATGAATTAACTTTACATGTTATAAACAATGCAAATAAACAGTAGTTAAAGCATGTGGATCAATTGTGTGTTACAGAATTTGATTATTGGGGAGATTCCTTTCAAAACCTAAATTAGTTAAGATAAAAAAATGCATATAATGACTCAAGAAAATCAGTTTTAATTCAGAATTTGATTATTGGGGCCATTTTTACCTACCTGTCATATGGGGCCATTTTTACCGGGGCTATTTTTTCCGGGGCCATTCTTACCGTACACCGTGCTGTTTGCTGACACATACAGGAGCAGCACCATCAGTAGGCATGAAGCTAGGGATTGGCTATTTCTATACCGGAATGGTGGATACTGTAGTTCAGTTCCTTTAAAGAAAACAAACAAAAATCTCCATACGTTTTTTCATGTACCTACATGTATACAGAAATTTGTTTTCCGCCTGCAAAATTATATAAATATAAATGAACCACAATAACCTTATACTGTATGTAGTTATAGTCAAGTTCTGAGGACCCTATAGAAAATAGAGGCTGTGACATCACAACTGACTTATCATACTTGTTTTGTTTAATACTGTATTCTTATTATGCTTTTTATTATAATATTGTTATTATTGAATGTTTGCTTGTTTTTGTAGTACACTTATTATAGTACAGTTATTTTCAGAATTATATTTTTTGCTTATTATGGATTTTAAATCTGCAATACCTGTAAATCCATTTGCTTACTGTCATCAAATTAAAATCTGTATACTCTTTAAATCCGTTTCTATGTTAATTTAAGATTTGAGTAGAATTTGTTGTGACAGTGGCAATGGATGAATGATTAGATATATTGTGTTACAGTAATCACAAAAGAATTTTTAGGTGTGGCATTATTGTGTCTGTTCGTCCTTATCCTAATAATCCTCTAATTCTCTGATCTTTGATTATTTCAGGTTGCATTAACTTTAGTATTCTAAATATGTGGTGTCTTTTTTAACTGCAATGATACAAACATGGGGGTGTCACAGTTAAAGGTGACACCATGTGTCTGTCGGGTGGTACTGTACTTCCGTGAGTCCCCAGGGGCCAGCCCAAATTTCCGATCTCCAGTTAGAATGATAAAAAAAAAATACTATATTATTAGTATGCAGGTTTCCATACAATTTAATACCATCTTTCTGCAGCCCCAAATGATTGTCTACCTTTCATCTTTATAATAATTATTTTGTTTTTTTTTAATTTGAAGACGAATTAAAGGCCATGAAATCCCCATCCCAAAAGTGTCTTTTATTGGAGGGAGACTTGTATATTGTTCAATTCAACACTGTGATTTTCACTACCATCAAGCCAATGTAGAGCCCCACCAATTCAACATTATAACCTTTATCCCTACCAATCAATACTTTATTTTTCCAATTTTATAATTCTTCATGCCTACCAATTCCGTACTAACCTTCACTTTACTAATTCGGTACTAATTCAGCATTACAACCTTGTTACCAATGATTAAAATTTTCACTACCATTTTTTTATTATCATTGTCAGGCACTATTTCAATCAGTACCATCGACACTTTCATTTTTCTAGTAGGCCTGTTTCTGAAAAAGTAAGACTAAAAAGGCCATGACATGTTCATTCACATAATCAGGATGAATGACATAGTAGTTGATTAAAGTCACCATTGGTGGTCAATCTACATTAAATCTTAATTGTTTGTATCCATATTTATCTTTTTAATGTATTTCTCCAAAATAATTTTAAATATCATTTTCTTAACAGCAAAAGCTCAGAAGCATGATATGGTTCATGTGGAGATCTGGCTCGGTGAAGGTGAGCAGACTATCGGTGCACGTTGGCAGAAGGGCGTAGTACAAGTCTTTGATTCCTACAAGTTTGTGTCCAAAAGCTACTACAACATGCAGTATCATTTCAAGTCCATTGACATGTGGCTGCAAGGTATTTGCAAGAGGTAATTCACTGACAATATTAGCATTGGCTTATTTACTGGTCCACCCGGCCTTCTTACGATCAAAAACCTCAGAAAATTTTTTTTTTTTAAATAGCTCAAAAATGTATCAAAAATTTTCCAGTGATTTACCGACCTTTTACTACAAAAATGATTAAATTGATTATCTGCCATTAACAATATATTGATTGTAATGCAATAACAATAAATTCTAAATAAAAAGATAAAGCACATGATGTTATTATTAACATGATGTACAAGTGTTGTCCATAAAATTACACATCACATTTTGATTCATATTTCTTCTAAGCAAAAAACTAACAACAAAAAATGTTTGTGTATCTGGTCTATGAAGGCCTAGAAAATAACTTCAGAAATTTGCTGAATTGGATTATTAATACTCATATTTCCAGTATGGTATGTGGTACATAGAACCTCTGCTATAGAGCAAGAGGTAGTTCTTATGCTACACACATTTAGCAACATGGTTTTCTTTAAGTGTAATATGGATTACGTGTATTACAATACCATCTGGCAATTCCACCAAAAGGCATTGCCTAGTTGTTGGTGCAGGCATTAGCTTGATCTATGATAAAACAGCAGGCGATGTAAATGTTTTCCCTAGCTGTGAGAGGCGCTAACAAGATGAGATGAGTTTTCACAATCTGGCCTAAATTTCTGGATAACCCCATATAAATAAAACAAATTGGATGAGGAAAACAGTTGCATATTCTGTGAAGGAATGTCCGATAGCCCAAAGTAGGCGAATCTAATTTTGATTTTTGTCCAAATGTGTATTACAACACTTACAGTACCATCAAACCCATTTTCAGGATTTTATGTTTAGGTGAATAAAGAAAATATTTGAATAACATTAAATTCTGCTATAGGCATTTGTAGTTGCGTTGCGTATATTTAACCATAGTTATCATAATTACTATAGATTACATACAGGCGTAAACACATTAAAATACAGATTGGCGATAATAATATCCAGATTTATTAGTTTGAATAGTCCAGAGAAAACCCAGTGGTTAGTACTGTTTTACTTGCTTCCTGTTAGGTTCAAGGTTAGGAAGCTTAACAATAAGTCAGGCAGACTTTGTTGCTGAGGAAGTCTTTATAGGCTTATAATGCTTCAATACAATATTGCAAGCCTGTTTCAGCTACAATGCACTGATCTCTTTCAATATATATCTTTAACATTCACTAATTATTTTGTCTTCCTCAAATCTTTGTTTTGGATTTAGGTGGGTTTGAAGTTAGCATTATGCAACTACTGTGTGCTTTGCTTATAGCAGCAGAACTTTACTGGGAGGAGTCATATCTTTCAATAGATCAATGTGTTGTTCATGACATCACCTGTTATTTTTGGTCATGTCCTTGCGATAACAGTATTCCCTTGTGGATAGTAAAACAATATCTGTGAAATCTTCTACTCAGTTTTTAACTTAATTTCATTTAATTTATTTGTCTCAAACATTAAAATTTAAAACAAACAGAAACAACAAAGAACAAGCACAAAAGAACATGAGACAGGACACCCCCAAAAGTAAACTTAATCACTGTCGAGTGGAGGCCCCATGACAAAAAACAAGTCAGGTGAAACAACAGTGTAGTTGCTTTTACTAACATTAATGATTAAGCATGTTTTTGGCCTTATTGCCATAATGTGTTATTAGGATAATAGTGACGATGAAAAAAAAAATTACAATAATGGTAACGATGCCAGTAATGACAAATACAATAGTTGATTTGGTAAAGCAAATCTGTGATACTACTCCGTTGCTATCAGCGACACAAAATGCGTTCAACCGGACCTCGTCTCCACTGACAAACCATTGATCCCAATTTCTAATGTAATTATTAAGATGTTATATCTTAATTTTTCTTTGTAAATTTTAATTGATGATTAAAATATATGTTCAGTAACTAAAATAATGCAAGCTTTTGTGTTTTTAGTACATTTTGATTGTAAAATATTAGGTTTTAAAATGCTTACTCCAGAAAGCCTATGAAGTCATTCAGGCATAATGAACGGTAACCAACGTCTGGTTAACAACAGAGAGCGCCACCTGCTGTTGTGATGACACGACTGTGGTACTCTATAGTAAGCAAATTTAATTCAAATTGTCCCTGAATGACTTGGCACTATTTAAAAGTCAATTTTTTTTTTTTTTTCATTTTTTCAGCTATTGTTCAGAGCATGCTTGGACACTGACAAAGTATACCCCAGGAGTTAAGTCTATCTTTTCCATTGCTGATGAACAACCAGATCAAGGAGCCAGTGACTGTGAAGATGAAGGTGATCACAATCATCAAGAGCAAATACAAGATTTCAAGCCAAACAGGAAAGATGTTGACAACAAACTTGTACAGCATCAAAATGCAGACAGCACACCTGTACAGTGTCAGAATGCAGACAGTACAGGTGCAGACAACACACTTGTACAGCATCAAGGTGAAGACAGCACACCTGTAAATCATCAGTGTGCAGACAAAACACCACCTGTAAACCATCAATGTACAGACAAGTGCAACACAATTGACTGTTATGAATATAGTGAACTTATAAGCATACAGAACACCTCACTAAATGCACAACAACATAGAAAACAACACTGCCACAGCAAACAAGTTAGAGGTGAAATAGATGGCATTGATGCTCCTGCTGATGGTGACACTGAGAAGAAATGTGATGGCTCATTAGATGATAAAGGTGTGTAGTCTACACTCACCATCTTTTTTTTTGTGTTTCTATGTGGTCATGTTTTGTTAAATCAATATTGATACTTCTGTCCTTTGCTGTTTTGCTGTACATGCTATTAAAAGTGATGTTGCTTCATCTGGTTTATCTATATAAATGTCATTCTTTGTAACTATTACTTGATGGACCAGTTGGAAGAGAACACTCCATGTCTTTGATGGGCTTCTTTTCGAGATGGGTTTTTTTTCAAGGCTACTTTTGCAAAGTAAAGAGGGGGCCTTCTTATCAAAATGAATGCTGTACATTTTGGGAATTACTGCTATATATTACAGTAAATAGGGCCACTGTAACATCAATCTGTATAATGGAGTGTATTAACCGGCAATAAATCACCTTGTTTTTAATTTATTTTGTTTCTTTAAAATTAATGTACTGCACTATCTCTAAAACAGCCCATGCTAAAAGAAGCCAATGGGCTCCTTTTCAAGGCTGTTTTTTCAAATTAAAGAGGGGGCTACGATTCGAGATGGGCTTCTTCTCAAGATTAAGCCCATTGGGATTCTATTGGAGTTTTTATGGTATGTTGGGATATCAACACAGGTACCTGATTCAAATACAATCAGTAGAACTGAGGCACATTGTGATGTTAACAGCTGCTGAGTATCCTCACCATGTGAGAATATATGAACCTTATGATTTGGGTAATTTCTTTACTACTGGTACATAGTTTGTTGAGCTTTTTACGTAAGCATGCATATCTCTGCTGAATTCTCCTAAGTGTTGTGTGTTTTAACAGGGATGTGCTTTCTCGATTTGTTACATTTGTATATATAATTTGTATTGTCAAACTCATATTAAAAATACAAATTCGAAAATTGACTTACGATGAAAACTGGAAACAACCATGCAATAAAACAATACAATGATTAAAAGTCCATTATACAAATACTCTATAAAATATAAGTACTGTATGTATAAATTTGGCCCTGAAATGTTAAAATATTAGAATATTTGTTCTGTGTCTTTGTGTAATTAATTATTGTTTACTTTAAATTAAAGATATTTAATGTTTCGTTGTAATGTGTTTGATCAATGCTGTACTTCATACAATTTTGTGCAATAAATGACTGTTATTTATTCTTTTTTATGTATCTTTGTTTCATGTACTTTGCAGTACTGGTGTACTTCAACCCCGTCTTCTATCATTCTTCCCAGAAATTGTGAACCAGTGTAATAAACTACCACAGAATGTGATGATCAAATCACTGGGCAGAAATTCTTTATCCCCATTCCAAAATCTTCAAAAATCCAGATTGAGTCTTACATTTTTCTTTTTCTCTGCATCACTCATGCTCTTCTCACTACAGTAATCTCTTCATTCTTTCTTCACAAACCTGCAATCTTTCACCATTCTTGCTTGTTCTTACAGCGCTGCCCTTGATCCAACTAAAATTTCCTCTGTAGATATTTACCCTAGTTTGAGTTAAAACTTCAAAATACATCATTTTTATATTTTTAAAACAAACTGACTAAATCATGCACACCTCAACTAAATTTATACGTACACAGGCCAAGTTTTATAGCCTAGCCTAGGACAGGCTAGTAAATCTTCAACTTGGAATTTGAAACTACAACTGGGACTGAATTTTACTTAGGTCTAGTTAAAGTTCTACCTTGAAGTTTAACAAAAGTTCGTTTGAAGAATACGGGCATAAGGCAGCTCCTTATTGTTAGGAATTTTTTCTTGAAAATGCATATTTCTGCTGTCCACAATCAAAAATATCCCACTGGCATGAGCTGCGCATGTGGTGGCTGGCAATATTGTAGGCAGCTCCATTTGTTTGGATGAGAGTTTTACTTAAAATAGAAAGCCAACTAAACTAAACCCTGGTGTAGTGCGCCATTTGTTTTTGTTATGTATAATAACAAAACCAATCCCACTTTAAGTATAGTAGATGGTGAATATTTAGTGAGAGAGCTACAAATTATACATTTTTATTATAGGCAATATTACATTTATGCTTGAGATTTTGGCCCTTAAGCGTGAGACAGACATCGAATGCATGAGTTTCACGCCAAATTCCTGTGCCTTGGCGCGTAAGCATCCTAGATTTTAACATTTTTTTAATAAGACCACTTAAAATTGTGCTGTCCATGGGTGGCGCCAGAATTTGCCCGACAGTGGGGGTCGAGGTCCCTGGGGAATTCCCCCCTCACAAGGGGTCAGATTTCCCCGACGAAAGCAAAGTGGGTGTGGTCAAGCTTCAATTAAAAGGCTTCAAAAGTGGTCCAGGGGATGAAGCCCCCGAAAATTTTGACAATTTAGAGATTTCAAAAGCTTATTTAATCGATTTTAGAATCTACTAATATGTAGAAAATACATATAATTTTTTTTTGCTCCCCGACGAAATGTGCTTTTTCTCCCCGATGAGGGGGGGGGCAGCCCTCCCCCACCCCTGGTTCTGTCATTTTCTATAGCAAGAATATGCTTTATCTATTTTATTTTTTTTAATTTAAAATTTTTTTTTTATGCCCAAGGCAATTAAGGATATGCGAAACTGCAAACTTTACCCTTCAGTAGTCAAACTTACACACAAGATGATCTAATAAACAGCATCATTATGAGGCTTAGGACTGGAGTGGGTTTTGGTCGTGAGAAAAACTCCACTTACCGTAGCTAGAATTAACCCAGCACCCTGGGATTGGAAGGCAAGCATAAACCACCAAGGTACATCTCCACCTGAATAAGGCCTACACCATCTAATTTAATGTTTCATAGTTTTCCTAGCTGCACTGATGAGGCCTGGAAGGCCGAAACGGATCCGTCTGCAGATATTGGGATTCCTTCCAGTGGATGCTTGGTTTATTTTGTCATTCTGATCGGATTTTCTCTACTGTTCCGTTTTAATT